TTGCCGGGACAGTGGCGTTTCTGTCTACTGTTTGAATTTCAAGGGTTCTTTGACATTAGCCCATGAAAACTAGACACTGGTTTTTGCATCCAAGCATCCAAGAACTTTCTTCGTCAACACTGGGATTGATTCATTCCAGGACCACCTGTTTTTTACCCAGGCCTCCAGTTAAGTTAATTGAAGTGTAAAAGAAGTTGGACCAAAGTGAATAAAGCACTCTACAAGTACCGTGTTGACGTGTGCAAGATGTTTAATTGAAGTGATAAAACACCATGTTGAATTGACGAAGAAGGATAAAACACACCCCAAGAAAATGGATACCATGCTATTGAAGTATTACAGATATCATTGACGAAGAAGAAGATTCCACACTTCATATTCACTTCCACCGAAGTGTTCATATGTATACTTCATGGAAGCCTAATTTGCATATTTGATCTGGCTTTTATCTTCACTTCCATATCATTTCTGCCTTCTTTATTTCATTGAATATTTGAAGTGTAGTTATGAAAGAGTGGTTGAAATAAATACTTCAGTATATTAACTGTATCATTTGGAAATTAAATCCGACTCTGTATTCAACTTCTTGTCAAAATTCGATGTGGTACCGCGCTTACCGCGATGTGTGTATTGGGCATGTTTTATTTGAGGAGGTTGTTTAATATGACCTTCATCTCATAATATAATTTCTGATCTAATTAAAGAAGTCAAGTGGTTTACTGTCGATCAATTCAACAGAAAACTTTCAAATGTCTTGGTGGGGAAGCATTAGATAAACTTGCCCCAGACAGTGGTTGGTCATGCTGTTCAGGATTGGGTTTTAGTCAGAATAAGACCGTCTTGTACACCGAGATTCCTGTTTTCCAGAGAATAACTTGAAACCAAAAAACATCATTATTCAGTACACTATGCTCAACTTATCTTTCACTTCGGACCACTAAATCGCTTGTGGACAACGGGGTTTGAGAGCACACACATCTACTTTACAGAATCTGCTAGACAAATAAAAACTGCTAAAATGCTTTCCATATCATTGTCGACGAGACATCAGTTGTCATACTTGGTTAATGATTGCATTAAGAACTGAGTAAAACAAATGGATTTTTGGTAATAATGCAAATATCAGAACATCGACAAATGTTATTTTCAAAAGCACAGAATTTAATCAATGTATGATACTAATTGTTTCCAGAAATGAAAAGGGTGAGCAGTGTAGAAGTAACATGATGAATATATTTAGGGAATACCTTTAAGTTGTCACTTGGAATGACGTCGGTCCAATATTTGATTTGCAGTCAAATGAAATAAATGACAGTGCTTCTATTAGTGATCTATTGGAAATATGGCCATTCCCTTTTTCCGTTGCAGTGAATTATCAATCATGTTAGACACATCACCGTTATTGACTCAAGTCGTATATACTATCATGTTTTAAAGAGAGCAAGACTGACAATTTAGATAATGTTCCAGTTAACCATAGACAATTAATGGTGTCATTTTTTAAAATATTTTAAAGAAAATGATGAATATTTGTTGGTGTAGGTGTTTAATTGGTGAATACCTTGATGGAGTTCGAAGATGAGCATTTTCTGCTCTTATCGTCGGTGTAAACCTACACTAAGACTTTCTTCTCTCGTTTCCGCATATAATATACGCGGAAACTAGAAAAGAAAGTGTGGGTTTATACCGACGATAAGAGTTGGATGTTAGCAACACTGCACTGGTTGATATTTCTGGAACATTATTCCAATTCATCCACACCGGGTAAAATGAAAGTAGTAATCAGTACAACATTTTCATGAAATAGCCGTCTTGAAATTAGTGGGACCTGATTTTGATTTTAGATGCAAAATAAACGACTTTTATTTTCAACACATTACAGTTATATAAAGACTTCCCGAGACAAGGATTACTTCTTTTTCAGTTATTGGAGACCGCGGTCCTCAATCGTTCCCGTAACTGGCCTGTTCACTAGATTATCCAAGATTCAAATCTGGGTGTGGGGAATGAATAACGTAGGAACGTCTGAAGCCCGATTCTATCTTGTCAAAGTTACGACCCATGGAACTGACCTGGCGTGCACGTAAATTAACCCCTGGCAGTTGAAATTCTGCGTACTGTTCTGCTTCAAGTGGGCCAATGGAACCACCAGAGGGCTGTCCTTGTCAGGACCTGCGTTCTGCACCACTGACAAGGAGAAACCACGCAGAAAAATCCCGATGAACTTTCTCGGCCAACACCGGGAGCGAGGCCGCGACCTCCAGGCTAGCTAGCCAGCGTCTTACTCATTTAGCCACCGTGGCATCTCTACCAAATATAACATCAAATTACAAGTTAATCAATTATAACATCAAATTACAAACAAATAAAATATAACAAGCTTATCGCATAACATCGAATTGCAACCCTATCAAATATAACATCAAATTACAAACCTATGAAATAGAACATCAAACTACAAAAAAAGTACAAGCCTATCAAATATATAAAATGTTATATGTATCATATAAAAAGCTCAACTATATAAAACCCAATACAAATTACAAACCTATGAAATAGAACATCAAATTACAAAAAAGTACAAGCCTATCAAATATATAAAATGTTATATTTATCATATAAAAAGCTCAACTATATAAAACCCAATACAAACATATCAAATATACAAAACCATACTACAAACTTGACAAATATATACAACTTAAATTATTAAACTATCCATATACATTTTGTATACACAACTATAAAATTGTTTAATTTAGAAGATTACACGTCTTATGATTTAAGTGATACTAAAAAAGGCAAACATATGGAAAAGGAATTGTAAAAATAAAAAAAAACAATTATAATCTAGTTTTATAAATATATATTTAATGGCATCTGCAGGCGCGGACATTTTTTTTTTGGGGGGGGGGGTAGTAAAATTGCGACCTTACGCCAAAAAATAAATCCATTTATATTACCCAGAAGGTGACAAAGATATCGCTTCTCCCATATCAGAAATACCACTATCACTGATACTACTAATGTTTTTTTTCTTTCATATTACAATTACTACTATCACTGTTACTACTACATGCATGGTTCGTTTTCATTACATTGAGGAGGGATAGGAGCTTTTTGTCTCTTTCGTAGTATACAGATTATTACTAGTACTGGAATTATAACAGCCACCACAATAATTGTGCATGGCAAGGATTAAGTACCACGTGTTAGTCCCAAACTTACAACCTAGTTAATCCCAACTTAATGCAATTTCCCGGGGACGGTCCGTCCACTAAGTAGATCCCTTTCAGGCCCGATGGTATTCTCATGTCCTTTGTGAATACAAGGTTGCAATGCATCTGTGTATTATGGTCCGTATTCCATTATAAGTCAGTTTTAGGTAGGTCTAAGGTCGGGATGAAGTAGTGCAGTCTTACTGCAAAAAAAGATTGTAGAGTGGCATTACAATGTCAAACACAAAATCAGGGGGATGTTTTTGTAAGAAAATATTTTTGCATCTTTGAAGACAGAGAAAGTTCAAAGTAATTAAAGTGATTGTGAATTTTTTTTTATGAAACTTTATCCAAATCAAAACCCTTTATCTCTCCATTCAACACCAGAGAAGCTGCGACTTATGACTTCCAATGACAGGCTAGGATATGCCGTTGAAGGAGCAAAGGCTCAACCAGTGTCATATGCTAGCCTGGTTGATACAGCACAGGCTACACCACCCAAAGTTCTCATCATTCATGCTATGACTGGATGTCCGAGTATGAAGAAAACATCAAACATACCGAAACTCCCCGGCCTACAAGTGGCATTCACCATGCGAATCGACTCAGAAGCTACAAAAAGTGGTACTGCGTGATATATTTCTCTAAACTGAAATTGATCCGAGTTTGACACCAGAAATTGGTATTTCCAACCGGATGTCAATAAAAATTACTTCGATTTGCTTGAAGTGTATCATACGGCATGATGAAGAAAAACACCCAGAATGAACTTCAGATCATGAAAATCCAAAGATTACTGGCTGAATTCAATCCGAGTTTGACTCCGGAAATTGGTATTTCTCACCGGAAGTTAACAGAACCAACTTCTATTCGCTTTAAGTGTATCAATTGGTATTTCTCCACCGGACGTCAATGAAAACTACTTCCAATATATTTAAGTGTATCATAGATGGGATCAGCATGATGAAAAAACAAGATAATGGACTTTAGACCATGAAAATCCAACCATTATTGGCTGAGATAGTCATGTTCTCGTTCCGAGGGGTTCCCGATTTCAAAAAGGCCCCTCCCAGAGGCTCAAGGGGTCGGAAAATTTTAACCCAACATTTTGGATAGCTTGGTCCCTAATTAACCCAAAACAACAACAAAAAAATCAATTTTAGCATACAAATCCTACGGGAGCTATTTTGATGACATGTCATACCACACTTTATTTTATGATCAGTAGTGGAATACCGCGTTTTATCAGTGAAATAAAATGATTGTAAAATCATAAAATAAATAGAAAATTTGTCGTTTTGTCGTGAATAACATATTTTATTTCATCTCTAAGCAAGAAAACGTTTATATTTTCACTCATGCTACGCATTCGTGAAAATATAAGTTTTCTTGCTTCTCGATGAAATAAAATATGTTATTCACTCTAAAACGACAAATATCCTCTATATAGTGTCGAAATATGCAGGATATTATGTAAAGATTTGATAAGATTACGTAGTTAAAGCGAGATGAAGCCTTCTATTGAAGATGTTCAAAGGGTAGCCAGGGTAGGATATAGGAATTTCTCGCAAACTTGTATTGAATAATTCAACTATTAATAAAAGGATGCATATTGTAATCGGTGCAACTATCACATTTAGAACAGATTCAATAGGCAATATGAATCAAACCGGGCATTGTGCACAATGCTTTTGTCATTCACGGGATATAAAACATATTATTTAATATTAAAATATGACCCAACAACGTCAAGTATAAATACATGTCAACAATAGTAGCCGAATAGGCGTTGGTTTCAACCTTTATGTTCATGAATTGATAAATAAATAACATCAGTATAAAACCACACAGTCTGGTAAAATGGCTGTTATCATCAAGAGATTGTTGCTGTTTGTCGTAATATCAACGCTTGTTGGATGTATTATAGGTAAGTGTCTTAGTAATAACTATCTTTATATTAACTCGTAGTGTTGTATTTTTAGTCTCAAATGTCGACTATATAGACAATTGCTTTGATATCCCCACAGTCCGTGTAAAATCAGATGTGGATTTCTTTTCGTTTTATTGTATGTTCACCTTAACGTATTGTATTTTGTTTCTTGTTGATGGTAATATCAACTGTTTATAATAATTCTGATCATTCGCCTTCCACTGAGATGTAATTATTGTTTGTCTTATTTTAGCTGACCTAAACATAGCTTTAAGAAAACCAACCGCACAAAGTTCAAATTTTAATCACCATCTTGCCCCCGTCTCCACTCGAGCTGTTGATGGTAACACAGATGGCAACTATGATCATGGAAGCTGTACACATACAAATGGAGCTGATACCTCTCAATGGTGGTGTGTGGATCTGCTCCATATCTTCAATATCACCAATATTAAAATATACAATCGGGTTGATGCTGGTGGGTATATTGTAAGTTTAATCTAAATCAGTAGTAGTGCAAAACTCCAAATGTTCAACAAACTTCGACTTTTTCATCCGGTAAATAATTCCACACTTATACGATACTGACTAATTATGCACTCAACAGCGAGGAAAGCTAAGTTACGATCCGATATTTTAATGCAAAAATGAACACTGGGAAATAAATCAAGATATCAATCAGATATGCTGTAAGGAATTGGTTACGTATATGTACATATACAAAAGGATTGAAGTCTAAGTCAATTCATTCTGCGATGATAGGCGGACAGTGGTTGTTGTACAGATTAAAGTACATTGATTAAGCGTGAAACTATACAATTTGGGGAGAATCAGTTCACATTATGATGATATTCGAATATTTAACGGTTTCTATTCGTCGGTAATTTTATTAATTATATTTGGTCGGTATTTAAATTTTTCAGTCCCGGACAGATTAAAGGGATTTGATTTGTTGTTGAGTTCTAATGGAGTTTGTAGTACAACCGGTCTGGCATCAGCTACATCATGTTATAAAGACAGAAGATCAAGAACCCAAGATCTGTATATAATAGATGGGTGTAATCATCCTTCCAGTAAACCTTTAAATAGTAGATTCGTCTATATACATGTCTATGGATCTCCGGCCATACTGTCCTTGTGTGAGGTTCAAGTGTACGGTTAGTTTTACTTTATATACCCCACGTATTACACTTAATGTGGCCACCAGTCTATATTAACACTCTATATAGATGATGATTTGAACGATTTATTTGAATAATTTACGTATATGTGTTTACATTTGTAGAGTTCATAGTGATCATATGGATTAAATTGTCTAAGCCGCATTTAGTAACTGGGTGAGAATAACATATCACTTATTTACATGGAATACAGGTTGATTGAAAATTTATTTCTGCCGACGGTTCGACGACAGTGCTCGTTTGCTAAAGTCGAGAAAACCCTCGTAGAACGTCGCCATAATTTAATTTTTCAAGTAACTTGTATTCCGTATAATTGTGTCATGTTTTATCATATAGATTGTTTGGCTGGTTGAAAGAAAGGAGGTCTTGTTGGTTTTGAAAATATTTGACAATTACTCTCATAACACACCACCCCAGATTTACGTATTTTTCAACATTCTACTGGTTACAATATTGTGCTACACTTACGTGATTTATAATATAATTATTGCCTTGCCGGGTCAAGAAAAAAGAAAAACAATAAAACGTAGATGACGGGCACTTGGAAGTCGACAGCGGTGACATATTTAACTATATTTTAAACGATTGATGCCAAACCAATCCAAATCGATTCAAATATTAAAGTCTTTATGATTCTAAAAATATGGTTACATTACAGAAGTTATGTTGATTCATTAAAATTATTATTTCCATGTAATCCTCTACTTTTTATATTACTTAATTGTTTGCACATGTTATGTAAGTTGGGAACTGTATATAGTATTTAGTATTATCCCAATATCTATGTAGTTTAGAGAATTAGGAAGCATTAACATTTTTGGAACGACTTGTATACAAACAATTGAAACAAAAACTCAAGACAGGGAAAAGATAATCGATGAAACAAGGGGAAAATCCAACGATACATATGGATAGATGGAGCATAAATGTAAACAATATCATTCCTTTACTGCATGAGTTCAATACTATTTAGGATTTGCTATGTACACTTGTCGTGTGACAATATCCTTTATACAAATTACAATTGGTACCACATGTTCGAATCATAGTAAATCTTTAATATGATACAAAGTGTTAATTCCAATAGATTATATAGCTATCATATTACATTCCAGTCGCCTGTGAAGCAGGGTACTACGGGCCAGGTTGCTACCAGAATTGTCCTAAACGATGTCTAAACAATATCTGTGATGATGTGAGTGGTAAATGTGTTGGATGTAATGAAGGAAGATATGGAGATAAATGTGAAGAGACCTGTCCCACTTGTTGTGGATCATGTAGACAGTTAGATGGTATATGTTTAACTGGTTGTAAAGATGGTTATTGGGGACCAAATGGTTTATGTCTAGACACATGTGGGTATTGTACGACAGGTGGTTGTAGAATAGAAGATGGCGTATGTTATAATGGGTGTAAAGATGGCGTCAATCACAAGAAATGTACAGATGGTAATTATTGGTTTCTTACTGTCTGTTAATAATTCTCCGTGTCCAGTTTGGGAATCGTCAATAAAATAATTTAGGATTGTTGCTTCTAGGATTGTGTGATATGTTAGGATTGTGTTGCCATGGACATACATCGACGGTGCTGGCGGAGAAATTTCAAGTTTCCCCGTGTCAGTGGTGCATGGCAGAGGGCCTTACAAGGCACAACGTATAGTTATTCAGATGGCACCGAAATCAGAGGTCCCGAGTACACATTGGAGTGCTCGTGGAAGAACCCTTGACATTTGGAATTTGATTTAAGAGTACTGGTAGGCCGTAGCGTCTATGTCCGGGTAAAATTTGCCTCATAGAACAATGTATAGAGTATGGCGTCTTCATTAGCCCAAACGGAGCAGAACATTATGACGTTTAAACCCTATTTTTTTCTCAATTATTTTGTCACTTTTCCTCAAACTCTTCTATGGTTGATTTATTGTAGGATGTGAGATTCTATCACCAACTACAATGGCCATCACTGGAAAGTAGATGTACCACAAACTGTTAACCAATGACGTACCTGTATGGACCACGATTTATTTACCTGTGCTTATATATCTATATGACAACCAAGACGTACTGTGGAATATATCCTACGATTTTTCAAAAAATGTTTAGTTTTTATTTTGTGGTAATATAATTTTATTTTTAAAGTAGACCATTTCTATGCAAGGAAGTACCATAAAACAATGATAATTATCAGAATTAAAGTGTATCTATGTTATCATTTGTTATTATTTTAGTCATACTTTATTACGTGGTCGAAATGAAATATAAGCCTAGCTAAAACCACGACGGCAGGTCTGGCACGAACAACGTCTAGTCGTACATATGGTACGGACAGCCCTCATCAGATGTACACATTGGCGTGCAGGTAAATAACCCTCGATTGTTGGAATTCATGTTAATAGCAACATATAGCCCGACTGCAGCTGACGTAGTTTAAAACAACATTGCATTCATTCATTCCATAGCATCTCCTTTCTGGGTATTCATGACTGCGAGGAAGTAGAATCAAGATGTAAACAAATCGGGGAATGGCCTACGAAAATAATTCCACTACATAAAGATTCATTGCATCTTACTTATATCGAGATGGTTAACCTCCTTTCAAATTGTTATCAGACATAAGTTTTTAATACTGGTCAAATAGCGCTACCCTTCATACAATTATTTATACAGCACTGTCTTCGTCAGGTGCACTTTATCCGCATGATACCATGGCCAAACGCATCTACTTTATAAATGGCATAGGAATGATAAGATGAACTATATAGTATAGTGTACTAGTGAATAGTAAAGTATATGAACTAGTGAACGATATTCAAATTATAAGATTTTTCCTCGTCACGTCTGGATTGATCAATATGCATACTAGGTTATTGGCCTAGCGCCCACCAGCGTATATGTTTCTATAAATCTGGGGGTCCACTGATGAATTAGGCCTAGGGCCTAAAAGTAGAAAAATCGATCGCGTTCTTTGCTGCATGCTCTACCACAGAAACCCAATATCATCACAATGCTGTTCACCGTGTCCTAATCTGTTACTGAGAATTTCAGTTTGCCTACCAAACAAACGCCAGCCTATAGCTAATTATAACTAGGCCATTTATCTGAATATCAATAGCGTTCATCCTCTCATAATCCCGATTCGGCAGAAATGAAATGTGTTTTAACGTCCTAATGTTCTGCTCCGACTTCATTTCATTTCATTTCAAAATTCGTGTGAACGAACACTATTGATTTTCAGCAATGCGTGACCTTTTGTTTAGGAGTTGACCCACTGGTCTTAAAACACTGTTAACAAGATAGAGGCTACAGTTTTAAACAGTTTATTTTTCAAATTAAATGTGAAGCATTGGTGGCACGATAGCGTTCCGGAGTTACCTCCCCTTTGGCTACAGTTAACATATTTTGTTTTCGAACTCTATCCATATTCAGCTTTCTGCGAATTTCTGTTCGGCGGTCTCCGCACCCCTTTCTGGAAACCTTGTTGATGTGATAGCGACAAGAATACAGTATAGAGTGGCATGACTGTTGAAAGATTACCCCTATTAATTTTCGTGTTCGGTGTGAAGAACTGAAATCGAAGAGGATGAATCTTGTTATTGTCAGCAATGTAGGATACTCATTTCGGAAAAGCTAGTGAATACGATAATGGTTCTTATTATTAAAGGCATCAAAGTTGGTCACTATTCCCCTTTTCCTTTGCGATAAGCTGCTGTATATGGCACTATTTTGTCGGAGATCTATTTTTAGTTCGCGACATAGCTGCTTGAGTCGGCGTATTTCCATGTGTTACCTGTGAAGGAAATTGAGCTATAGTCGGATGCCATCCAAAAAACAAGACATACCCTAAAGTCTATGAATATTGATGTTGTAATTGTATCAATTGCACTATAATATTTCGAAAATAGTAATAAATAATCGATATTAAAGTGTGTCTTTGGTTTCATGTACAGCAGAAATGGGCAAAATCTTAAGTAAAACGAAGTTGATGCTCCAACATAGAAATGAATCCGTGTTAACCTTGTGACTTTTCCTCGTCAACTGAGATAATGAAGACTGTCGTACGAAATTTTATGAGGGAACTTTTGCCGGAACAGTGGCGTTTCTGTCAACTATTTGAATTCCAAGGGTTCTTTGACATTAGCCCATGAAAACTAGACACTGGTTTTTGCTAGGCCTGCATCCAAGCATCCAAGAACTTTCTTCGTCAACACTGGGATTGATTCATTCCAGGACCACTTGTTTTTTGCATATTTGATCTGGCTTTTATCTTCACTTCCATATCATTTCTGCCTTCTTTATTTCATTGACTATTTGAAGTGTAGTTATGAAAGAGTGGTTAAAATGAATACTTCAGTATATTAATTGTATCATTTGGAAATTAAATCCGACTCTGTATTCAACTTCTTGTCAAAATTCGATGTGGTACCGCGTTTACCGCGATGTGTGTATTGGGCATGATTTATTTGAGGAGGTTGTTTCATATGACCTTCATCTCATAATAAAATTTCTAATTAAAGAAGTCAAGTGGTTTACTGTCGATCAATTCAATGAAAACTTTCAAATTTCTTGGCGGGGAAGCATTAGATAAACTTGCCTCAGAGAATGGGTGGTCATGCTGTTCAGAATTGGGTTTTAGTCAGAATAACTTCCTGTTTTATGGTCACATACATATATCTTTTAGTTCAGTTAATTTGTACATCGAAAGTCCTGTTTTCCAGAGAGTACATACATCTACCTTACAGAATCGGCTAGAAAAATAAAAACTGCTAAAATGCTTTTCATACCATTGTCGACGACACATCAGCTGTCATACTATTCAGTCGGAAACTTGTTTCCTGAAAGTTTCCTAGATGACTGGGGCATACCTCACGATGAAAGTTTGGTTAATGAAGGCATTAAGAACTGTGTAAAACAAATGGAGTTTTGGTAATAATGCAAATATCAGAACATCAACAAATGTTATTTTCAAAAGTACAGAAGGTAATCAATGTATGATACTAATTGTTTCCAGAAATTAAAAGGGTGAGCAGTGTAGAAGCGAAATGCTGAAAATCTTTAGGGAATACCTTTAGGTTTTCACATGGAATGGGGGGGTTGGTTGGCTGAATGGTTAGCGTGCGCGCGCTGTATCATAAAGTCTGTGATTGAGTCGACTGGCGTGGTTTCGAATCCACGGTTGTACGTGACAAGGAGTAGGGTCGCCTGTCCAACCTCGTGGGTTTTCTCCGGGTCCTCCGGTTTCCTCCCACTGCTAAAGACCCCTACGCGCAAGCGAATTGTTGAAATAAAATTAAACCATATGTTAGTCCCGAAATGACCTAGTTTGTGTCGAGTGGACGTTAAACCCCATTTCTCTCTCTCTCTCTTTCACATGGAATGACGTGGGTCCAACATTTGATTTGCAGTCAAATGAAATAAATGACAGTGCTTCTATTAGTGACCTATTGGAAATATGTCCATTCCTTTTTCAGTTGCAGTGAATTATCAATCATATTAGATACCTCACCGTTATTGACTCAAGTCGTATATACTATCATGTTTTAAAGAGAGCAAGACTGACAATTTAGATAATGTTCCAGTTAACCATAGACAATTAATGGTGTCATTTTTTAAAAATATTTTAAAGAAAATGATGAATATTTGTTGGTGTAGGTGTTTAATTGGTGAATACCTTGATGGAGTTCGAAGATGAGCATTTTCTGCTCTTATCGTCGGTGTAAACCTACACTAAGACTTTCTTCTCTCGTTTCCGCATATAATATACGCGGAAACTAGAAAAGAAAGTGTGGGTTTATACCGACGATAAGAGCTGGATGTTAGCAACACTGCACTGGTTGATATTTCTGGAACATTATTCCAATTCATCCACACCGGGTAAAATGAAAGTAGTAATCAGTACAACATTTTCATGAAATAGCCGTCTTGAAATTAGTGGGACCTGATTTTGATTTTAGATGCAAAATAAACGACTTTTATTTTCAACACATTACAGTTATATAAAGACCTCTCGAGACAAGGTAAGACTTCTCGAGACAAGGGGGGTGATCACGTGGCTAAGTGGGCAAGACGCTGACGCGCTAGCCTGGAGGTCGGGTGTTCGATCCCTGCATCGGCCGAGAAAGTTCATCCATATTTTCCAGCGTGGTTTCCCCTTGTCAGTGATGCAGGACGGAGGGCCTGACAATTACAGCTGTCTAGTCGTTCGGATGGGACGAAAAACCGAGGTCCCGTGTACACATTGGCGTGCACGTAAAAGATCCCTTGGCAGTTGGAATTCGATATAAGAGTAGGCCGTAGTGCCGCTGCCCGGGCAAAATTTCCCTCATAGCACACTGTATGGCGTATGCCCGTCTTCATTAGCCCAGTTTAGGAGCAGAACAGTAGGACGTTAAACCCCAGTTCATTCCATTTCATTTTATTTCTCGAGACAAGGATTACTTCTTTTTCAGTTATTTGAGACCGCGGTCCTCAATCGTTCCGGTAACTGGCCTGTTAACTAGATTATCCAAGATTCAAATCTGGGTGTGGGGAATGAATAACATAGGAACGTCTGAATCCCGATTCTATCTTTCCAAAGTTACGACCCGTAGAACTGACATGGCGTGCACGTACAATAACCCCTGGCAGTTGAAATTCTACGAATCGAGGGGCGCTACAACATTCTCCTATTGAAACTTAATATGGTCATCCTCTGGTGCCGACGCGCATTTTCCCGATCGTCTACCCGTGGTAACAATCATGCTATTATTAACGTTGTGAAGACGTTAGAAGGCCAGGGCTGGATTAAAATTATGCAGAATAAGCATATGATTAGGGTATCATCGGGGCGGGGGGGGGGGGGGCACCAGCTCTGTTTGGTAGTAAATTTAAATAAGAACTGTTAATGAGTTTTTCATGGTTGTACTCCTTCCTTACGGCTGCATACATTGTCTCAATTAATTATGACGTGTATAAAATCTCATTTTGAAAAATACAAATTTATTATATGGTTTATTATTGCTTATATTTGGAATTACATATGAGGGCACTACAATCCGTTGGTCCTAATCCGGCCCTGCATCTGGCTCGACATTTATTAGCTCCAGACCGGAAGTACTATTGCTCGGCGTTACTTCCTAAACTTCACCGAATTTTAACTATCAATGGCCGGAAGTACTAATCGTGATTGTTGGTCATGAAACTGTTAGTATTGTGTTTAGTCTTGATCATCTCAAATGGCAAAGGTAACTGACTGTAACTAGGCCACGTTTCAGTTTGAAAACGTCTATATGACGTGTCTATATCTCATCATTTTGTTTCGGGTTCTAATCCCCCCCCTCCTACAGCAGGTGATAATCCCTCCATAGACTTAAGTAACATTGTTCGGGAAGGCAGCTGTAAGCGACCCATAGTAAATCGATGAACTGAAGCCATTTGTACATAGAGTAATGTCGTGTTGCAATTTAAACTCAATTATTTAATTAACGGAGATCAAATAGACGAGGAGATTCAAGTATTTGTTATATTTCTAAAAAATTATGAACATTAAATATTACAAATATTTCAAATGTTACCTACCAATTTCATGTAAATATATAGAAAATCAATGTATATATATTAAATATATTAGCCACTCTAATATAATATTTAATTGCAATCCTATCAAGTATAACATCTAATTACAAGCCAATCAAATATAACACCTAGTTACAGGCCTATCGGACATAACATGTAAATACAAGCCAATCAAATATAACATCTAAATACAAACCAATCAAATATAACACCTAATTACAAGCATATCGGACATAACATGTAAATACCAACGAATCAAATATAACATCTAACTGCAACCCTATGGGACATAACATGTAAATACAGTCCTAAGAAATATAACAGCAAATTACAAGTAGGTCAAATATATAAAACCAGAATATAAAATCGAATTACAAACCTACTAAATATGAATTCAAATTACAAGCCTATCAAATATAGAATCAAATTACAATCTATCAAATATAGAAATGAAATGGCTTTTAACGTCCTACTGTTCTGCTTCGTGTGGGCCAATGGAACCACCAGACAGCTGTCCTGTCAGGACAAGGGAAAACCACGCAGAAAAATCCCGATGAACTTTCTCGGCCAACACCGGGAGCGCGGCCGCGACCTCCAGGCTAGCTAGCTAGCGTCTTACTCATTTGGCCACCGTGGCATCTCTACCAAATATAACATCAAATTACAAGTTAATCAATTATAACATCAAATTACAAACAAATAAAATATAACAAGCTTATCGCATAACACCGAATTGCAACCCTATTAAATAAAACATCAAATTACAAACCTATGAAATAGAACATCACACTACAAGCCTATCAAATATATAAACTGTTATATTTATCATATAAAAAGCTCACCTATATAAAACTTTAAACTTATGAAATATATAAAGCTATACAAATGATCAAATATATAAAGCTATTAAATGATCAAATATATAAAACTTTAAACTTATCAAATATATAACACTTATCAAATATATAAAACCCAAATACAAACATATCAATTATATAAAACTATAAACTGATCATATGTATAAAGCTTATCAAATATATAAAACCCAATACAAACTTATCAAATATACAAAACCAGACTACAAACTTGACAAATATATACAACTTAAATTATTAAACTATCCATATACATTTTTAATACTTTTTGTATACACAACTATAAAATTGTTTTATTTAGAAGATTAAACGTCTTATGATTTAAGTGATACTAAAAAAAGGCAAACATATGGAAAAGGAATTGTAAAAATAAAAAAAAAACAATTATAATCTATAGTTTTATAAATATATATTTAATGGCATCTGCAGGCGCGGACATTTTTTTTTTTTGGGGGGGGGGGGTAGTAAAATTGCGACCTTACGCCAAAAAATAAATCCATTTATATTACTCAGAAGGTGACAAAGATATCGTTTCTCCCATATTACTACTATCATTGTTACTACTACATGGTTCGTTTTCATTACATTGAGGAGGGATAGGAGCTTTTTGTCTCTTTCATACCACAAGAATTGTCGTCAGTATACAGATTATTACTAGTACTGGAATTATAACAGCCACGACAATAGTTGGACTGGAGTTTATAGATGATACGATCTTGTCACGTGGTTTGGTTATACCAGTTGGAGCTGTATAGTTGTGGTTTAAATCTATATAAATATAACAAATAATGTATTTTAAAAGTTATTTTGGGAATACAGTATTTGGGATTATTACCGACATATCTGAGAGGCAGGTGCGAGGAGTATTAGATCATAAGGGCTGTTATTGATTCAAGTGGTGTGATTTCGATTCCCGGCTAGTACGTGATAAGGAGTTGGATTGCCAGTCCAATCTCGTGTATTTTCTCCATGTCCCCCGTCTTGCCCCAATGCTAACGACCCCTCGCACAAGAGAATTTAAAATTGAACCATATGTTAGTCCCAAAATGACCTAGTTTGTGTGGAATGGACGTTAAACTTCATATCTCTATGAAATGACAGAAATAACCCGCAACAAACCATATGAAGTCGAAACTGTATGTGTCTACACGTCATTCAGGACAGAAATCTATTCTCAAAGTAGAATAATTGATGTGTGTAGAATGGCGACACGGCTCCAAATATATTATGCCATTTCGAGACAAAATTAATCAAATCACAAAATAAAAACAAACATAAAAATTGAAATAACAGTTTTTCTTCATTAAGCCAGAGACATAAATTGTGACTAAAATCAACCCAAGGCTGTAATTTGTGACGTCACTTAAAACATAAATATAGAAATATTTGTAATATTTACCATCGACATCGTTAAGTTTTAATCGACACTGACAAAACTGTCCATCAGCTGGTATCACTTTACATAAGTATGTTGAATTAAAGTCACTTCCGGTTGTATTAAATAGAACTAGAGTTATCTCTCTTCTGTCATCAGCCAGCTCTGTTATATTAAATACCAGCCTGTCTTTAAATAATGTTTCGGATACAAATTTATTCTGATACCAATACCCCAGATCGTCTTCCTGTTTAAGATATAAAATACATGTTGTCATCGACTGATATTTACATTTTCGAAGCAACGGTAACAATGTCTTGGTTGGCTTGCCAACTAATCATCATAGCAGATACATCTCCTGAATTATTGAAATAAAATGGAACCATTTGTTAGTCCCGAACGAAATAACCTATAGTGTCTATTTTCGAGTGGAGTATTCTTCGAAAACAGGGTTGGAACCAAAGAAAAATTGATTAAATCTGTTTGGCTTAGATTTGTATTTGGCTGTACAGGAATAACAGTCATTCTACCCACCTCCTTTCGTGAGCTATCGATCCTCGATATTATAACTGCTGTAATCGGGTAGCGATATTGATACATCCAGGTAAATATTGATCTATTTTTATCGGACTTTATATTTTTACCTTCACATTCTGATCCTAGAATAAAAGAGGTAATCATAATGTCTAGAACAGTGTTTGTCATCCATTCATACGACTAGTAGTGAATAGTCGATTAGATGAAATGGGATGTATTTCTTCACATGTAAATTAGTTAAATGTTGCAACTAGTTAGTAGGTGAATAGAATATAGTTCACATGAAGTTGTTATACATCGATAAACATCAGAGAATGGGGAACATTAAGTTGTTTTTTTGCTTAACATTAACTGAAAATTAATAACCATCACAGCATAGTGGAAAATTCGTTTTAGTTCATGACTGATTCATTCTGAAATTTCGGGTGACAAAGAAAATTTTTCGGACAGATAGCTCTCCCCCCCCCCCCCACGTAAAAATGAGATTGGCCCCCTATACCTTTGTACAAGATCCTATTGGCACTATGTACACAATTTATATTCTACGTGTAGTGAGTTCAGAATTCATGCAATTCTACTCCTGTCACGAACAACCGGGGAATCTAAATCACGCCAGTTGACTCAATGACAGACCTTATGATACAGCGCGCAATTGCTAACCATTCGGCCACCCCCTTGTTGAAGACGTAGACAAATATACTTGGTATTTTGTGAAAGGTTCCATACGTCCATGACAATATTACAACACGAAAAGGATTGAAATGCATATAGTAGCACATATTCTTAAATATAAAATTTAAAACTTACTTTCAGCCACCAGTTGAACACCTTGTTTGTAAGAGATCTGATCATCATAGAAGACATGACAGTAGTAGATTTTATCAAAATCATCATTAACTGTTTGTTGTAATTGAAGGCTGATCCTTTCTACACCCCCGTTGTTTATTGATACTTTATTTAGTATCAGTTCCGTTGAAACATCCACTCTGTCTTGTTTGAAACCTTTCTCGATCGTCCATATACCAATATCTATAGTCTGCAGAACGAACATAAAACACAATCAGAAGTCAGATAGATTAGTGCTGTCTAATTTAACAGATTCCAGATATAATTCAAACATAGAATATTTTGACCCAGTCGATCAATTGGAAGATTACGGAATTAACGTGAACAGGGGGAATCAGTCATTGTTATCGACTGTAGTAGAGGGGTAACAACGCCACAGAGGATGGTCAGCTCTCGGATAATCCCATCCCGAAACTACCCATAGTGTTGTGAGGGTATCAGTTGAAAGTCGATTACTCATAACCAATTCTAAAACATAATTAATTGACCATTAATAAATAATATCTACATTTTTATGTAGCCTATAATTGTAAAAATGCGGGTTGGAAATAACATAATGGCTTTTAAGAGCAGATAAGAACTAACTTTAGACTAATACAGTTTTCTGTAAGCTAGTAAACTAGGTTGTATACCCCAACTGACCGGTCATATTCTGATACATGATATGGAAACTGAGTATTGATTGACATAATAAAATTTGATCTTACATGATTGGTTATTTGATGTTTTCGACTAAAGATGATTTTGTTGATCGATTTAGTGGTTTTATATTCCCAGGATAGTTCCACATCTTGGCGAAGAGTTGAAATGACAGGTTCTCGAGCTGTTGGCATCCAAGTGAAACCTGAATTTAATCATAACGTATTACAAGGTATTCCTTTCTGAGAACATTTTATTTATCAAGGTAATAGATTAAAAGATTTAAGTTTAATGGTTTGAAGGTACGGGAGTAACTTGCTACTTTTCTACACGAACCGAGGCTAATGCTGACGGGAATACGTCATGCAGTGCCCTATGTGGGAACAGGGGATTTTTGTTCTAATCTTTATCGAATTCGAACCGCCTGGGAGATCGGTTTTCCGTCCCACGGAACAGCTAGATGTTGTTCTATGTCAGGCCTATCATCCTATACTAGTGTCGAGTGGAACCCCCCTGGTAAATCTAGAGAAACTAGTTTAAAAATATATCAGATTTAAATACCGGATTTAAAGTTGGAATTCATTAATGTCAAATCAAGAAGAAATCCCTAAAAGATACCAAACCTACTTCCTCGCATCACCGAAGATACAACAATTGTAATTATGTTGGTTTAGGCATTTATGTGATTATTCGAAAGCTATATTGGCTTTCACACACTTTACCTGCCAAGCTGATGTTGATGTCTTTGTATTCTCCTGGTTGGTTGTTCAGATAACATCTATACAAACTATAATCTGTATCAGTTATATTATTAACAATAAAAGTTATCTTTATCTGTCCATCTGTTTTCGTCAATAGTAGCTCATACTTCTCACCATCAATCTCGAGCTCTTTAAAACTATTAGGCTGATTCTATAATAGTAATAAACTTAATATCAATTTCTGTTTTAGTCCATTCTTGGTATAGTTCCGTTCTACTCCTGTTAGTGATATAGAACGGAATGATACCACTAGGGATACCATACCGGGGATGATTATTAGTTCTGTGGTAAAATAATGTAAATATACTGTACCTGGAACTGAATTATTGGTATGGTCTTGTAATCTTGTGTTCTATATACCCAGCTGAGTTGAACCGAACTACCCAGTGTTGTCATTGGTAGTCCAGTAGTTGCAGCTGGAAAACAATCATGACATTATAAATTAAAATAATGAAATAAATATTTCTGGATAAGACACAATATACAGAAATCACAAACAACAAACGCACATATCAGTACTATATATTTCCCATCCATGTATAACCTGTAAAGCCCTTAGAGCATCTTAAGACGCTTACGCGCCATATAATGTCTTATTATTAGATATTAATTACGGTTCTATATTCGTGGATTTGATTAATTTTTGTGGTTTCCATCTTGATTTAACCGTTTTCTACCATAAAGAAAGATTACCTGTGTATAAAAAGTTATTCAACAGCAAACCTAAAACAGAAAACGAAAGAAGATGCATATGTAGTTACAATCATCGAAGAATCTATACCATTGCCATTATCATAGGTGCGTCTGGGAGCATTTATCTTGACAACAGTTCGGTCTAAATCCATGCCATCTCAAAATACTACCAGTATTATATTCTAGACTCGGGTGTGTGTATGGTTGCTAATAAAGGTTGTAATTGTTATTGCGACCTTCTTGCTGAACTGCTACTGCTACAGTTTATCTACTTTTGCTATTACAAAATTGAATTATCTTGACATTGATGCGTAATGAAATTAAATACAATTGTACAACTACATTGCGACGCCATTCCACATTGTCAATCGTCTTTCCTCAATTTTTATAAAGGTGTACAAATGTAAACAATTAGTTGTCAGATGATTAAAACAATATTAAATGTAAACAGATGCTGCTTTCTGGAATGAGGTGTATACATCAGACCCTACAAACAGTGGTTGGCGACCCCAGTTGGATGGCGACTCTGGGGTTGGGAATCCAGGATATAGACACGAAAGAAAACACCTTGGAGGGACATAGGTGTGTGTAAATAATCATTCGCTGTCAGACCATATGTGATAATCATACTGCATTTTGTCAAATCTGGTGAAGAACTGATTGACTTTGATCTTTGAAACGGCAAAGTAGTAGTTCTTGGTGTTTAACGTCTGCTTCCACATAAGTGATATCGCAGACAAGACATAGGAGAGCTGAAGCTGATTCCTGTTTTTTAGAATATGATTATGCAATCTTTCCATTTAGCCTTAGGCCATGGATTTGGTTTAGTGGGAAGTTCTTCCCTTTATTTAATATAAAACATATCTTTTAGTAGATGGTTTCGCCTGTTTCTGGATTGGTAGATGTCATCGTTTGGGGTTAGTGTTTAGGTGCCAGGCCCGTCTTATCGTGGCCTCCCCTTACTCCACTATCCCACTCTCTGGGCTTGGTATCAGTTTTATTTGCGGAATAGTGTTTGGGTGCCGAGTTCGTCTGACCGTAACTCCCCCTTACTCCACTATCCTGCTAGTTTGGTATATGTCATCTTTGTGGGGTTTGTGTTTAGGTGCCAGGCCAAAATGCGTATGCATTTTATACTCAAGGACAGTCTATACCCGAGTCGACATTACTAAAGCCCCACATAAAGATTAACAATAAGGATGCAGTAATTGAATCTATATTCCATGTATGCTCAAATAAAATCATGTCTAAGTAATACGGCACTGGTTGTCGAATTAATACATCAGCCCAATATATTATTTTAAGACTAATCAATGAAGTTCATTACACTTACCAATTATAAACATTATCTTTCCATTCAAGTTAAACCGAATGCCTGTTTTACGTGGTCTACAGTTTGATAGATTAGTTGCTTTCTCCTTAAACTGTTTATTCGTTGTTACATCTGAAGAAGTGTCTAGAGTCTTTCTAGATATTCTGGTAGGTGACCTGACCACTTTTCGTTTGATTGTAGTGTACGTATCCCTTGACTCCCTGTTATCTGCTAGATCTGCCAAAGTGTTTAGACTTGTCATTCGTGATATTTTAGATAATGCGACAACTGCACGAATCACTAATTCATTCAACCTGCATTCTCTATCGTCTCCTTTTTCTTCGGTTCCATCATTACATTTCGAGTTGATTAGACGTTTATCATCTGAAGTGCATTCCTCGACGCCTCCATTTCCTTTTGGCTTCGGTGTCGTTTGAGTTCTGTCGTGCGTAATCAGTTGGTTAACGTTTTCTGATGTACATCTTTTGTCCTTGACACGATTGGGTAAATCTATTAGATCGTTGCAGTAATTGTCCAACAAATGTTTTTGAGAACCAAATTCACCTGTAAAGATTAGGGCAATTATTATGCAAAACGTTTTAAAATTGCATTTGATAAATAGAGCTGATGAACATTTAAAAATTAGAACTGAACATTTGATGTCTGACTAAAGCTAAATGATATATCAATGTCGGGGCTACTAGGTTGACGCTAATCTCAGATCAATCTACAGTTAAAATGGATTAAACATTTATTCGCCAATATAAGTAAGTTCGTTTTTCGGGTAGAAAGATAGCTTGTAAGAATCTATTTCCCAAGACTGTAAAGTAAACCAAATAGGCCCATAACAAACCCACATCCGGCGTAGGGGAGATGGAAGAAAGTTGTGCCGTTTGCCACGACACCGCTCTGTAGTCCAACATATCCATATTTTACTGCCAAATTCGTTTTCACTACATCGTTTAAGAAGGTGTTCATCATCATAAGCATTACCCAGCCAGCCACATTACTCTGCTGGGATGAAATGGTGCGATCCGAAAAGATTTTGCAAATGGAACAACTTATCCCGAGGGCGAAGTTATTTTTTTCCACCATATGCGATAATTAGAGCCTAGCCAATTTAATCAAGGAGCATTAGTATGTTCCACCAGAATACAAATATTTATTAATGTTGTTGTTTCAATTGGTCATGGGACATTACAATGATTATGTAACATGCAATTTACTCATGTATTAAAAGCACCAACACAAAATGGATGAGAGGCTATAGATTCAACAGCATTGAATTCTTATTAATGAGAGTATTGAAAGTATTAAAAATGAACGCATCTCTATCGGCCTAATAATGGATTAAATTATTACTAATTAATACAAGGCATCGACGAATAAACTTTGGTAAATAAACGGAGTAAGTTTTGCCATAGTTCAACTTGTCCCCGAGGTGAACTTTACTATCATGTAAGCCAACATTTTGATACATTAAAACCAAACCAAACCAACATGCTAGAATTACAACCCAACCATATATAATGGATATCATTTGGCAATTTGTCGTTCAAGGAAGTCTACACGGTTAATGAAACAGAAAATATAAGAAACCTGTTTTCAAGAAATTTACTTTTCGTTAAAAATTTGGATTTTGCACGTAGTTCTATTTTATAGAATATTTAAGAAACGAACCACAAACTAGTTCGTTCCATAATATTACTAATCTGGTGAATAACGAACTACAAACTAGTACGTGGTTCGTTATTCGCCAATATGAAACGGCCCGTTAGAATCTTTTTTCCAAGACTTTGTTATCAACCACTTGGGCTCATCAAAACCTACGTCCGACGTATTCCCATAAAAGTGCCTTTATTATATTACTAATTCCAGATCTGGTGAGTAACGAGCAAGAGGCCAGCTCTGATAATAAGTAAAACAAAACAAGAAATAGAAAATGCTGAATTTGCGTAGACTGATACTTTCTGAATTGTGTTCTGCAAAGCCGTCGTTTCCTTTTAGAGTTTGTGTCGTTTTTGTCTCAGATCTTCCAAGAGTTCTGTAGTAGGTATTCAGTTGATATACTTTTCCCAATTTACATCGTTGGCTGTTGACATCAATGTCTGACATTAACTTACTATCTCCCTCATATTTTATAATCCTTTTTAGAAAACTGGGTGTCCTCTGCATTTTATCTGCAAAAATTAGGCCAATGTGTCCATTATCATTCACAACCAAAGTACAACAAAACTATCTTCACTCCGTGAAACCGTCTAACATGACGTAATATCAGGTGCTTCAGAAAATGAAATAATGTTTTGTGTATGACTATTGCAATAGTTTGGGTCTGCATGAATAAAGGCATATCTCGTATACATGTATTATCAGAGAACCGTATAGTGCAGCTACTGTTTTATCGTTTGGTAGAGCCACTGTACAGCCCAACACTTGGTTCCACTGTCGTCATAATATTCGGGTTAGATGAATTTGAAGAAATGTTTTTTGGCAATGGTTTTGCAAGATTGGTATTTCGAGACGTGTATTTTAAAATATTTTGTTTGAGAGGTTTTTTTTCGTTGTATGTTCCTGATATAAATGATTAAAATACAATCAAATTAAACAAAGATACAATTATAAATTAAATCTGATATGACGAATATCTGATGTTAAGATACAAATGTGACACCCCATAGCATACTGAGTCACAATGAGGAAATTTTGAAAATTGAGTTATTGTTATTTTCACATTCTCCAACTTATTACCTTCAATTTGATGTATACATGTATACTGTCCATTAGAAGCTACCCAACTCACAAAAGTAAGTTTTGAGAAAAAGCAAGTCAAAGATTTGGTATGTTCCAAAACAAAATCCCATAGCAACCAGGCCATTTATCTGCTGTTTTGTCGTTGAATATATCTTTCCATGGGTTTTCAGGGGTGTTGAAGACGAAAATCGTAGTAAAAATTTGATCCGACTATTTCGGCAATTTATTTGCTATTTTGTCGTTTAATATGTTTTTTATTTAGGATTCCAAGGGTGCTGACGACGGAAATCGTAATAAATGTACTCCTTTCGTAACGAAACATCCACAACACATACGGCATAATATTCACATGATAGTGTTATACTGGAGAACAATCTAAACATTAGTATTCTGTTGTGTATATTAGAACTTTGGAGAGATTAACTGTTAATCTCATCAATTAATTAGTGCCAGCTAGTGGCCAGGAGATTACGATTGTTGATTGGATAATCATCGAAGAAGCTGCAACAGCTGTACGCGTGTTCATTTAACACGTGAATTAAAATAAATAGGTCTATTATTATTTTCAGGTACCGTGACGTTATCAAAATATGAGTCCCTATAGAAATGTCAATTTCATAGTCAAGAAATGCTTACGTCCACTTTCGTGCATTTGGCTTTGATGTAAATATCAGCATTATTCAGTGGATACTCAATGGCAGACTCGAGAATCGTCGCATTTGGGCTCGTTGGTCGTTCTCATTTTCTCGACCCATGGTGATAAGAGAATGTTAAACAATAATATCCCCGATGCATTCCTTACTTTGCATGCCGTATGAAGAAGCGACAGTAAACGGAATTCAGCTATCAATAAAATAATTCTCTTCGAAAAGAAAATTATTGGCCATTTTGTTTATTTCCATTTAAGGCCTATATATTATTTTTTTAAAGATGATATGAGATATCAAATAATCACAACTTGGATTAATTATTCGGAGTAAATAATGAGTTGTCGACGGCTTTATCATTGACCTGTGACAGTTGATTAGTAATTGTATTACTCAATGACACACACCCGCTTGTCGATTAATTTACATCGCCTGCCACGTGGTTTCGATTAACACTCAACGGCAATCTATTTTTTTTTCTGCCTCTTATCAGAGTGAATCGCATGAAGTTGCCCAAAATCATTATCGCCAAAACCAAATATTTATCGATAATGTCTTGCACGCGGTGTTTGGGCCAATCAGCAAACGAGTTGTGTAGACAGCATGGCAACAGGCGGAGTTTATTTATAACTCATTCATTCCCCAGTTTGACTCTTTTTTATTATTTACAATATTTTAAAGTATATATTATATGAAATATTTTATATGTTCATAGATAAATGTATATCATATAACATAGTTTATATCTAAAATAAAGTAAATGCGTCCATTCTAGATAGTTTTCTTTATTACTGACATTTGTCATATAATTTTCAAAGTAATGTAGGTAGGTAAGATATTTTATATTTCCACAAATAAAGTGAATATTATAGGAAATATGTTATATTTATATAAAATAATCTATATTTTCATAAATACAATCTTTTATATTCTCATAAATGAAATATTTTATATTTTCGTAAATACAATATTCTATATTTTCATAAATAAAATATTTTATATTTAAAATATGATATATTTTCATAAATAAAATATGATATATTTTCATAAATAAAAAATTCTTTTTTTTCGTAAATATGATATATTTTCATATAAAAAATATGATATATTTTCATAAATAAAATATGATATATTTTCATAAATAAAATATGATATATTTTCATAAATAAAATATGATATATTTTCATAAATAAGATATGATATATTTTCATAAATAAGATATGATATATTTTCATAAATAAAAAATTCTATATTTTCGTAAATAAAAAATCTATATTTTCGTAAATAAAAAGATTCTATATTTTCGTAAATATAATATTCTGTATTTTCATATATAAAATATTCTATATTTTCATAATTCTTATAAATAAAATATTTTATAGTTTCATACATAAAGAGCTTATTATATAAAATAGTTTTGTTTTGTTTGTTTATATATAGGTATCGTTTGTGTCCCAACTGTTTGAGGTATTACGCAACCCAATAATTACATACTAGTTTATCAGATACAGTTTCTAATGCACGTTTAAGTTTATGTGGATTCTTTGATTGTTTAATCTCGTCAACCAGTTGTGCCTTCACACCTTATACATGTCTAGAGTTTTTAATTCTGTGATGTCTAAGGGTAGGGGATTCCAGAGAAAGGATGCTGCGGAACGTTTGTTTCGTCTGTTTTCAGTTAACTAATAATAATGGCTAGTTCTGTGATTTAAAAAAAAAAATTAAATGTTGTTTAACGTCCTACCGCTCTGTTCCTATTGGACCCGCTAATGAAGAACATAATCCTCCCAGTGTATTGTTTAATTAGGCTCACCGAAAATACCAAGTAAGCGCCTCTAAGGTTCACAAACAATAATAAAATCAATAACCGTCACTTTATGACATGTCAACTGGAATAAAACCGACGAGCAACTATATAGGCAATACAATCTATATTCTATCAGTGTTATAGACAGTATTTTGTTGACAATCCGTATAGACAGTATTTTGTTGAACAATCATTGTGGGTTAGATTCGACACCGCCCACTTATTCACAGTTTCTCGACCGGCTACTGCCCAAAGCACATAAGCATGTTTATTTAAAATATACACGTATAAAGAATAATAAAGTTTACCCTCCTTGTCCGTGAAACTTTATAAAATTCGGAGTGATGAGAGAAAAATATTTAGTGAGAGGTTTAGCTAAATTATTTAACATTGTTTGCATTACTTGATGGATATTAATTATGAAAGCATAAACGTACTGGTGTCCGGGAAGGGACGTAGGCAGTCCACAATTAGAGCACTGTCGACATGCTAGAGTCGATTTAACGTATATTGGAGCAAAGACATACCCTATCTTGACACTCAGTTAATAGTCGGACTTCGTGTACACCCCATTTATATCAACTTTTATTCCATTCTAATTGCTACTGGCAAACTTCTCACACTCTGAAGTTTCAGATGTATACCAAGATGATGCCCAGAAAGTATTCAATCCCACTGTCAAGGGTTCTTTAACGCGCATAGCAACATGTACACGTGGATTCAATTTTTCATACCATCCGAAAGATTACACAGTTTCCTGCACCACCGACAAACGGGAACCACGCGGGAATGTCACCAGGACGTATTTAGAGTAATAACGGGGACCAATCCAAATCCCCAAGGTTAGCGAGCCTCCCGCTTGAAGTATAGAAAATTGCAAATTACAGTGTAACATACCAGACCGCACAAGTCTACATAGAGAAAATAGTACCGCAATATTAGAATAATTATTTGCTCAATTACCATTTATTAGATAAATGCGAAAATTAAATGAATTTTTTAAAATTGGAGATAAATTTCCTATTATTTGCCTCGACTGGGCTAATTACAACTATCAAGGGTTCTTTTACGTGAACGCCAATGTGTACCAGGGTCCTCGGTTTTTCGGCCGATCCAAACGAGGGAAATATGATAATATTGTCTATATTGACAAGGACATACTCCCAATACATGTCGGGTAAAATATCCGGCATTACCATTTGAAAACTTCTGCAGCGTTATTAAGTCCAAAGGGCTGACGCCGACATTCAAACATACCGTCCATGGTAATGAACCGTCCTATCTGTCAGAACACACTCGCACAATTAAAAACTGATAAGAGAAGAGTTTGTGCTTCAGCAATAGAATCAATGACATCTCCAAAACAAATAATTGGAGAAATGGGTACTTTACGTTACATTGTTCAACTGCCTGTAATAAACTGCGAATCTAAAATCACCGTTTGACTTTTTAACCAATACAACAGGCGATGGCCATTCCGAAGTCTAAAATGGCATTGATTTGTTTTGAATATTCTACTTTCATCTTTAAAATGGCACCATAACTGGCATCTCCTGTTTATAATATGCGTATAAACAGACGTCGTTCGCAATCTTAGCATAAATTTGTGGTTCCCCACGTGGTTCTAATGTAATAGCATTATCTCCCCTAACAAGACCTATACAAATGTTGGATACTTTAATTTCATCTCCGCCACCCATCTTTACCGATACTTTATTCATCCTCATTTGCCAAATTTACAGTTATTTGTTCTCTTTAATGAAATCAACACCTAAGATAAGAGGCTGTAAGGAATTACATAAAATTTGTGCTTATACATACTTATAGCCACCAAGAAACTTGGGTAGTCCTATCTGATAGCGAACATAATTATACCGTGGTTATTAATATCCCACTTTTTACTAAGGTTGTCATGAATAGGGACTATGTGATATGATTATTGATGTGTTAGTATGCCTGTCCAACCGAGTATTTG